ARGKTWWTTTTYTCCCCTAATARTTTTATATCTTTYCTTTCAAAAYGTCATGTTTTYCGGGCTTTTCCAATTCTCTCATTTATTGTGTTGGTTCAAAGCACACCAGAAAATGCAAATCAAATCTATTTTCTTCTCCCACCAGACAGGAAGACGAGACAACACCTGAAGTTTTTTAATTGGGTATTAATTACTGAGGGGAAAAAAATCTGTCTGAAAATGCTACAGAGCCAAGTCTCCAACACTCTCCTTGGAAACAGAAGGAGCAACACCCAAAGCCAAAATTCCCAGCGTGAGGAACAACCAGTGATGAGGCTGTGGTGTCGAGTGGCCTGACCCCCAGGCAGCCCCTATCMCAGTGCCCATGGTATTATTAGAAGGGCTGTGATAGCTGAGTGTGTGGGGCTGGCACACCTTCCCAGCCTTCAGGGATCACAGCAGGGCTGTCACAGCCACTGCCAGGGTCACATTCCCATTCCCAGTTCCCGGCAGGATTACACACRACAGCTGCAAGGCAGCTCAGGCTCCCTGTTATGTAAGTGCCTGGGCACAGGGGGTGATTTCAAGGCAGGGGTTGAGTAAATAAATCAGTGCCTCTCCTGGAGTTTCWGTGGACAGGAAAAGGATTCATTACAGCACAGAGGGAGGCACTGGAAAATTGCAGCTCTGTGCTCTGTTTTTCCAGCATTGGATGGGTATATCATTTATTTTGGGGTGTGCTTAAAGCATCAAATGRCAGGGAGGGAATCAGACCTTTAATACAGAGCAGAGTTTGAGAGCCCTGGGTTTTCCCAATTTCCTTTGTGCAGTCGGGAAGGTCGGGCTCTGCTCCCAGGGAACAGGGACAGGAGGAGAGGGAACRGCCTCAGRCTGGGCCAGGGGAGCAGCAGGGGGGAATCAGGARGAATTTCCTCATGGRAAGGGTTGTTAAACATTGGGAGGGGCTCTCARGGAGCTTTGGGGGTGTCCAAGGAASGACTGGATGTGGCACAGGWSGGGGTYGGGCACAGGTTGGACTCGATCTTTTCCCACCTCAGCAATGCCAGGATTCTGTAAATTCTCAGAGGCACTATCTGYAGTAAAAGCAGCTGGAGGGCACTGGTTTGGTGTGGCTGCCCCTCCATGCCCAGGGTTACTCACCCCTCCTGGAGCCGTGCGGGTCTGGGCTGAGGCCTGGAACACTTTGGGAGGTTCATCCCCCACTTTGGAATAGGTCATCATGGAGGAGGAGCTGAACGAGTGCCCGTCTGGCTGGATGGACAGGTCATCCTGCAAAGCAAGACAGGCCCATTAATGCCACCYAAACCTTGGGGACAACAGGTGTTCCTTACTATTTTATCCTGGAAAACATCCCTCCACAAGATTAACCCTCCTGGCATTGCATTAAACTTCATTTTATCTTCAAAAAATAAATTATAAACACAATCTAATATGGGGAAAAAAAAAATTCTTACTCTCTCCTTTAGTCCCACTTCTCCTGGCAGTATTTTCTGATGAATATTTTAAATAACTGTCACCCTCCAGTACARTGAATTTGAGAACAATTTTTAAAAAGAACTCACAAATTTCCTCTGCATTTCCAGCATGTTGTTCCTCATGTTTGACATCATCCTRTCCATTGCAGAAAATGGATCCCCAAAATCTCCATCCTGCCARAAAAAAAAGGAAAATAAGACTCCAGTTAAAACAGTCTCTTGASTCCTCCAGTCCTGAAGCTGGTTTGTACATGCAGTTTCAACTCAAAAAGCTTTTCAGACTGCACTTCACACACAGACAAGCCAAAATGCATTGTTTTAGATTAAAAATTGAGGGAGCTGGGTTAAGTTGGAGATATTGGGAAGATGAAAGGGGAAGATTTGTCACTCAGATGTCAAACTGGCMACACAATGAGTTTATTTTACAAATATGTTCATTGGATATTCGGATTATTTTAAAAATGTGTTCATAAACCTTCTGACCTCACCAGCTTCTGCTCTGAAAGTCCTGTGTGACCCTTCAGGGCTTACTGAATWAACTTTACTTAATTAAATAAATTAATTTCCAGAGATATGTATTTTGAAGCTGCAAACTTCAATCTGCATTTAAGCCCAAAACAAAGTMAAATTCAATATAGAAAATCTTCAACTTGTTTTTTGAGTACAAGAAAATAGAATTCTCTGGGCAAGAACTCTGATGGATGTTTTACAGGATTCCAGCCCCCCAAACTAGAGGTGGAAACCACCTCAAGCCCATGTTTCCAGGGGCAATCCCATCCCCAAAGGCTGTCTGCCTTAGCAGGGATTATTCTATCCACATCCAAAGATCAATGCCCCAGGAAGGATTTTTTTCCCTGGATTTTATCATTCTCAAACTGCAAACAGCACCAAAAGCAGGACACAAGCACAGAGCTCAGCCTCTGCCATGCTCTGGTTGTACACACAGCTTACACAGCAGCTACTCCAGGGATACTAACCCCTCTCCCAAAGCCTGCAAAGGGCAGGAGGGAGAAGCTGGTGCCCTGGAAAAAAAAAGGAGCAAAATCTGGAATTATTATCAGGAACAGCAGATATAACTTTTATACATAGCAGGTGACACCAAACATTTCCCATCAAATCAAAATCCCTCAGGAGGCCTTTGRTAATTAATGAAGCAGTGCCTGGGTCTGTGGAAATAGAAATCTATTTATACTGATGATATCAGACAGTGCTGAGTGCCACCACATCTAATAAATATGAGTAAGTGTGTGTGAGAAGCATGAGAGGTTGGGGAACATTTGGCCACTACAAGAACCTTCACACTAAAGGGATTGCAAACTTCAGCCCCACCCTGCAATGCTCCACTGCAGCCAGGAGCAGAACCCAGCAKGGAAAGCTGATTAAAATCAACAAATTAACAACTCCAGTGATGATGAGTGTCCCTGCATGACAGTGGGATCCTGGGAAACACAGGGATGTTTCCAGGAACCCAAGATTGGGGAGTCAGATAAGGCAGGCACACAGAGGGGGTGCCACAAGGAGCAAACCCTGTGCAGGAACTTTTAGTGCAAAGGGAAGGAATTCTCCAATTCAGGAATATCTTTAGGAACTGCTCAAGTTTCTGTCAGGACAGATCTTATAAACTGTTTTAYAATACTAAAAAGCCATTAAAAGCTGTTCAACATTTGCCTGACACACAGGATAATCAGATATCCCAAAAACCCTGATTAACAATTTCTCTTAGTATGTTTTAGCCATTCCTGCTCCTCCCCTAAAACCTGAACTGCAAATGGACTGGACAAAGGAAAAKMAGTTTCAAATCTGAATCCTACAGKGACAKACATTGAGTTTTCCAACTAATTTTGTTCCTTTTAAAGCAGTTTTAGGCCTGCTGCAATTTAATTAAACTCAGAACTACAACACAATAATCACTGTAAGTAATTTGAATGAAGTCTGTTTGACGTGGCAGCAAAGATCCACCTTTTCCTACATAAAAATCTCATTTTAAGGGTTTAAATCATTTMTGGAGGAGCAGTTTGGGATTACAAGGCAAAGCAGTGAGTGCTGAGTCCTGTGTGACATCTGACAGCCCTTCARTGGAACATGAGGGACATCAAAAGATGCTGGGAAGGTTTGGGCAGGTGTGGAATTCCTTTGTGCCTGTCAGACTAACACTGCTCTTGTACCTTTAACTTCTTGCTGCAGCCACAGACAAAGGGCTTTTTTTTGGCCTCTCATTTGTCCCTCGCTGCAGGAACAGGGACACAAGCCCTGAGCTTTAAAGGTGAGGTCTCACAGGTTCATTTTATAAAGGAAAAAACTGCTCTGGTTTTAGGCCCCACTGATCTGCTCATGCCCTGATGAGATGCAGATCCTAGATCTGCCAGGAACTGGATGAGCAGGGGAAGGAATGTGCCAGTTCCCCTCTGGAGGTGCAGGTGCCAGGCTCTGCTCCAGCTCTGTCACCTGCTTGTGTCCCAACGGTCCCCTCAAATCCRCTGGGATTCATTAAAGCAAGAATGAGGCAGCTGCTGAATGTTTGGAGGGAAAGGACTCAGCTCCCAACGTTTATCCTCTATAAATACAGCTCCAGATAAGGGGCAATATCATTACCCTGCATGCCCACAGTTGAAAAAACACTTAAAATGAACAGAGATCATCATTTTCACATCGTAACACACAGGAATATTGTGTTTCACAGCAATTTCCTACAGGTTTATATCTAAGGGATACAATCAGCCCAAATTCAGAGCGTGAAGTGTTTACCCCCAGCTGCAAAGTTGAAACAGGGTTTCAAATCCATGGATAGACACTCCTGAGGTGGTGAAACCCAGGCTGGCATAAATCAAACATAAATAGCTACACACAGGGCACTGAAGTGCACAGGGAAGCCATAAATATAGCATGGGATTATGGAATGGGTTGGAAGGGACTTGAGAAGATCAGCTGCACCTCCTGCCAGGGCAGGGACACCTTCCATGGCTCCAACCTGGCCRTGAACACTTCCAGGATGGCAGCAGCCACACCCAGACACCTTTTAAAATCCAGTTAACATGAAAAGGAAATGCATATGAGACATTTTTAGTGCCTTTGTGTAATAGAAATATGTAATATATATTAAACCAAGCATTAGATAAATGATCATTTGTTCATTAAATGTTGTCTATTTGATGACCAACAAAACCCAGACTCCTGCTCAGCCCTGCCAGATGTTTCTCAGAGATAAGGAATGTGCCGTGAAGGATCCAAGAGAGGAGTTATTCCCATTTCTGGGAGGTTCCAAGAGCTGAGCCAGGCGTGTTTCCCAGGCAGTGGCCGTGCCACGGAGCAGTCCTGGAGCTCAGGGACACTTACCCTGCGGTTGCCCCTCAAGGCCATCTGGGAGTCCTGCTGTGCTCTCCTGTCTGCTCTCCTGCCCGCTGGTTTCTCCCCCGCCTCCGGGAGGCTCAGGAATGGATCCCGCCCAAAAGGCTCGGAGAAGCTCCTCATCATCTGCCTCATGTGCTCATGGTGGGCAGCGAAGGGATCCCTGCACAACAGAGGGTTATTCCATGGGATGGACAATGGCTTTTTCCAGCTCCAGTTACACCATTCCACATGGGCCTTTATCCAAAACCTTTAACAGGACCCAACTGAGCAATGTCCCATTCCTAATGCACTCTGATTCTCCCTTCCCATCTTTAACTTGAGTGTTTGGGATCTGTTTTCTCTCGGCTACCCTCACTGTTCTCCTACACTCCTGGATGTCCACTTTTCCATCCTTTCCAGAATTATCCCATTCTCAGCAGCATTTTTCACTCCAGCCTATGTTTAATACCTGCCAGAACTGTAAAACTGAYCTGTGTTTTATTTATCACTATTTCCACCTCTGACACCTGACATTAAAGGAATTTATTTTTTATTTTCCCCCTCCCTTTTTCTGTTTCATCTTCCAAAACTCCTCATATCCCACTGGATCCCCACTCCTCATCCCTCAAATTTATTTTCCTGGCACTTCCCATCCTACTTTTTCTTCTCCTTGTCCCACATGCTTAAAAATACTCACTTATCCTCCAAAATCAGACCRATTCCATCTCTTTTAATCATCCACTGCTGCACCTTTGCCTTCCCTCCCCACAAATCCTGTTCCCACGTCCCTTTCCTCTGCTTGGGAAGAAGATTCTCACTGGCTTTTTGTTTTCCTCTAACTTCCTCTTCTCCCCAAAAACCAACAGAGCCTCACTGGTATTCCCAAAGCTTGGCTTGCAAGGAAAACATTGCTCAACTTCCCAAATTCTCCAATTTGGACAAGACCTGATATTCCTAATTGAGGTCAAAAGAGGAGCAAAGCAGATTTTTTTTTCTGAAGCACAAAGTATTGTGCTGTTGTCTAAGGGCCAGGCTGCAAATTAATGATTCCCATACAAATTAGCACTTCCCACACAAATTAGCACTTTCCACACAAACTAACATGGCTCATTTCCYCCCTCCATCTCATTCCCCTCTCTGCTATTCCACAGAAACCCCTTTATTAACAGTAAGAGTCACTCCCAGGTAGGGTTACTCAGGCTCCACACCCCTCATCCTCCTTCCTCTCAATTCCTGGCTCTTCCCACACCCAGGACATCAGAGCCTTTCCCAGGATATTTCATGAGGAAAAGCTTCAGGCTGTTCCTGACTTCTTTCATGTCCACTTATCTCCTGGACAGCTTTTCTGCTCCCCACCCCTTATCTCCAGCCCCATGAAAAGCAGTTCCCACATCACGTGGCTGCTTTGATCTTGTGCCAAAGTTACGTTTCGCTTTTATTTTTTTTCCTTTCCAGTGAAAAAGGCAAACACGAGTCTGGGTTCATTATCAAACAAGGTTTTTTAACATAAAAATATCCCTTTAAGGTACACCCAGACTTCAACTCATCCCAAAAGTGATTTTTAAAGTATTTTTGTGTTGTTGTGGAGCAGCCCCCACCCTGCTCCCAGCTTTGGCTCCAGCCCAGCTGTGATAAGGAGCTCACCCAGACATGTCCCCTCACTCCAGGATGAAGAACAGATGGAAAAAGTCCTGGCATGAGCCAAGGGGAGGGAATCACTGGAGCATCACCATGGGATGTGCACAATTCCAGCCGGTCTCAAACCTCACCCAGCTTTGGTTATCAAACACAAAGAGCTCCTTAGTACCAGGGACAGGGCAATCAGCTCAATCCTGGGAATTAGGATAGGCTTAGGAACAGAAAGGAAGGCTCCCAATTCCCAATTTGCCATAAAAAGATTGCTGCTGAGCCTCAGAAGAAACACCCCAATTTTGGTATGATCTGGAGCAGGGCAAAACCAATGGAAAGGGAACAGAAAATCCRTTTGGAAGACAAAGTTTCCAAGGAATTAAACCCCGATGGCTCCAATGACTGAAATTCAAACTGTAATTATGAGAGGAAGAGGTCACCCTGACACAAACAGAGATGAACTGAACAAGGCAAATCACTGCAGTGGAGATGCAGGATTTTAGGATCCTTGCTCCAAGCACAGCTTTTATGGGATGGCAGCAGGTGTAGAACACTCTAATTCAGCTGTCTTTGATCATGTCTCTTTTAAAATCTGACCCTTTTTGCGGGGAGAAGACATTTTTGATGAGAAGGACATGATTTCTGTTACAGCATAAGAGTGATGAGGAGAAAGCATGGGGTTCCACAAGGGGTTTGAACCAAATTTGTGCCCTTCATGTGTTAAACACAAAATTATTTTAAAAATTATTCTGGATGGAGATAATTTATACACTTATTGTTCCAGCAAGCAGTCTGCAGTAACAGAATTTTGTCTAATAYGTATTAATGACATTAAACATGCAAATAGAATGTTAATGCTTACTTCAGTGCATGAAAAATCAGCCMTAGAACAATTAATTCCACTTATGATTTTTGTAAACTGCACTTGGTATTAGATATAKTTCCTTTTATTAGCTATTAGAGGTAAGTATTGGATTCTTTTCCCCTCTCAGGAGTTATGTAAGGCTGAAATTGCAGATTCCCTCAGGAGAGAACACCTGGCACAATAAACAAAAGCTGTGCTTTGGAGAATTAAATCCTGAGTGTGCACTTGGCAGGGAAAACACAGCTCCTGCCCTGTGCAGAGCTCCAGGAATGGATCCCAGCACCTTTGGGTGAGTGACTGGTGCTTCCCTGGGACAGCTGCTCACACTGGGGGACTCTACCCCAGGCTCTATTTCCAGTTCAGCATCAAAACCTCTCCTTATGAGGCAACTGGAGCCTATTATGACACTATTTTGGAAGCTAATCTTATCTGGGGTAATCAGCTCATTTCCTTAACTCTATGCAAAACAGACTGCCAAGCACAGTGCCAGGAAAATGAGTCTCAATATCCAGCTCATCTTTCACACACACTCCCTTCCTCCACCTCCTGCAATCCTTTTTTTCCCTACCTCAGTGCCTACAATAACAAGAGATAAATTAATAAATAAGCAACTGCTATTTTAAACAAGACTTAATTTCCATTATTAATTTCCCGCAGAAGATTTGCAAAGGGATGCTTCCTGCACAGAACTCAAGAGTTGTTATAACAGGATGAATATTCCTAGAAACCAAGTGTACCAATCCATGTGGCAGAGTTTTGGGAATGATCCTGGAATGTGCTGGAGCTCAGCAGGAGATTCCCCTTTAGGCAGCCCCAGCCAGAGCTCCCCGTAACCAGGAGATGCAAACAAACCACACCACAGGGCCTGCAGCTCCCCTTCCTCACCCACCCCTTAGCCTGGCTGCTCAGTAAATTCCTCACAGCTTTTTAAAAATATTTAAAACAATTATCGAGGCTCTTCAGAGYGCTCTGATCTCATTTTCACCTGCTACAAATTACAGATTCTGASCAACAATAGCAAATGGGGCCAGAGCAGGTAACTCAGCCGTTCTGGCTGAGGGCACAAGTCTTTGCACGACTCACTGCTTAGATTCAGATTCCAGTGGCAACAGAAGATTCCCACAGGGAATAAACTGAGCTCAGACTTGAACACACAGACACGACCCACCACTGTGCTCATGGCATGGAAATAGAATCACAGGTTTGGGCTGGGAAGGATCTTAAAGATCATCCTGTTCCACCCCTGCCATGGCWGGGGCACCTTCCACTRTCCCAAAATGCTCCAAGCYCTGYCCAACCTTGAACAATTCCAGGGATCCAGGGGCAGCCACAGCTTCTCTGGATAACCTGTGCCAGGGCCTCATCTCCCTCTCAGGGAATAAGAACAAAAGCCATTCTGCTGAGCTAAARCACCCCCATCCCCTCGGGAAARGAGCACAAGCAGACAATTTGCCATCCGTGCTCTCACACACACGCTGGCAAAGTTTTAATTGAAAAACACGCGGTGTTCTAAGTAGTGCTGGCAYTGAGAAGAGTTCAGAGACAGCCTGCGGCTAAGTAATTAATTAAATACCTACATAAATCCGGATGAGCTACACTGCTCAGAACCTGCACTTAGGAAACCCAAGAGCAAACAAACTCAAGGATCTSCAGCCAAGGAGGTGAAGATCCCCCTGTATGAAATGTGGATTAAGCTCTTCCCGGCTGCGAGGGGACACAGACTCAAATCTCGGCTATTGAACCTCGCTGGGAGCGTTTAACCCCTGCGCGGCTTTAGGGCGGCTTTAGGGCCGGCWCCGGGAGGGGCCGGGTGCGGACAACGGGCGGTTAAACGGCCCCGGCACCGACCCTTTAACCGGGACAGACCCCCCGCTCCTGGCCCCGGCACCGAGCCCTTTAAACCGGACAGAGCCCCAGTTCTGACACCGAGCCTTTAACCGGGACAGAGCCCCAGTTCTGGCACCGAGCCTTTAACCGGGACAGAGCCCCAGTTCTGGCACCGAGCCTTTAACCGGGACAGAGCCCCAGTTCTGGCACCGGCACCGAGCTCTTTAAACGGGACAGAGCCCCAGTTCTGACACCGAGCCTTTAACCGGGGACAGACCCCCCGCTCCTGACACCGGCACCGAGCCCTTTAATCGGACAGACTGCCGGACCTGAGACCGCCACCGAGCCCTTTAACCCGCCTGGATTCCCCCGCTCCTGACACCGGCACCGAGCTCTTTTAACCCGCACCGATCCTCGGTCCTTTAATCCGCCCCGATCCCATCTTTAACCCGTCCCAACACCCTGGTTCTTGCACCAGCCCCGACCCCTTTAACCCGCCCCGATCCCATCTTCTTCCACCCGCACAGATCCCTTTAACCGGCAGCGATGCCGTGTCCTCCCACCCGCACCGACCCCC